CCCCCAACACACACACTCCCTTGTCTCTGTGTTGTGAGCCTGAGCTGCAGGCTCAAGTCCGCCTGGCTGTTTGTATTTATTGCTTTAACAAATTTATTCATTTGAAAAGGCCGAGCTGGAATGAGGTTAGTGGCCGCGGGCTATAGGACCCTGCGCCTCCTGCTGAGTTTTGATATGAAAGTAATTATTTTCCCACTGGCTGCTGCGGGTCTCGAGGCAATTTTTTTTCCTTAGCGCCCCCTTCTTCTTCCTCTTCTTCTCCCCTCCTTTCCTTTCAGCCCAAAGGGTTATTAGACATTACCGATTTCCAGTGATATGGAATCACATAAACTTCCTACAATAATAGAATTAGCATGAAAGGCAGGGGTGTCAAATTGAAATGGGAAAATAATAGCCGCGCCAGCTGCACCGTGTGCGCGCGCGCGCACGGTGTGCGTGAGGGCGCATAAAGTCTATTGAGGAAGAGGAGGAGGAGATGGTGGTGGGAGATTCGTGGGGCGGAATTTTCATGAGCTGCCGCGGCTGAGGAGGAGGAGGAGGAGGGGGAGATGGTGGTGGGAGATTCGTGGGGCGGAATTTTCATGAGCTGCCGCGGCTGTCAGACGGCCCTTGTAGTCAGCTATATTAAGATAGATGTTCGATGATATCCCTCATTGTTCTGTCGCTTATATTGATGTTGCGGTGTTATCGCCCTATTGATCATGTGTCGCACATAATAGGACAGGCGCGCGCGCCCGCCTGCCTGCCTGCCTGCCTGCGCCTTGTATTTTTTTCTTTCCTTTTTTCTTTCTTTCTTTTTTTTCCTCTACAAAAGCTTCTGGGCCCCTCGTCATTTGTTCTAATAGGACTGAGATTCCCTCTGGGGGTGGTGGGGACAGATAAAGATATAGAAAAGAAAAGAGGAGCAGTGATGTGCGTTAATAGTTGTTTTTTTTTTTTAAGATGCAAAGGAGGATTATAGCGGACACTAGCCCTGCTTAGAAATAAAAATAAAATGAAAAAAAGTGCCTTGCGTAAAGTGTAAACGCCATCAATTTCCCCGGAAACTGAAATCCCAATTATTAAAACCATTAATTCTGGAGCCCACCACCACCACCATCCGAAGCCCCCCCTCATTGAGGAGCTGTGCTGACAGCCCGGCTAAATATCTCCGATCCCTCCCGGTCACCTCAGACTTTATTTGCAAATAAATTGAGGGGGTGGGGGGTGGGGG